TGAAAGATGCAAATTCAAAAACATCATAGACAATTATTCTCCTTCCACTGTAATATTAAACATACATATAGGAGAGAATTGACTCTATGGACATTTTCACCAACTCTATGGAGACCTTTCACCGAGTCGTTAGAAATCTTGCTGTATTAATTATTTGCTATTATTGTTATTTTATTTATCTATTTACAGTGTCTATTCGCGGTTGCTTGGCGGACCCATGCGACTTCTTCAATACAAAGAGCCCCCTCGTGAGTTGTGCTGTGATATTGCGGGCTACTCGATTGTGAGGAAGTTGCAGAGATCTGGTTAGCGCTGCGCCTTCAAGTTCTCAAGTTATTTTCACACATATACTTTCTATAACATATTTCCAGAAGTTCCTGATTGCTCTCCTTGTAACATGTGTTTTGTTTGAAAGCAAAAATGAAATAGAGAAAATAAACTGTATTTTTACATTACAGCGAGTTTAAATTTCATAATTAAAACTGCTAATAAATGTTTATTTCCACGTAGACAAATAAGTTTTCAATTATATAGGTACTTTTACAAACAGTCGAATAAATTATGTTTGTTGTAATAGTTTGTTAAACTTATCATTTAAATGAATAAAGATTATTATTATCATACATATTTTAGGGTATATGTTACAAGCTGTCATTTCTAAAATATATGACAATTATGGTGATCATACATTATACAAAAAATAAAAATAATATTGTTTTTAAAAAAAATTAAATTGAGATGTGGCGTTTAAAGTACCAATAATTTAATTTGCGCAATTAAAAGTTTCTCGTACATCATAGACATACTTACATCGTGAGGAAAGCAGCATGTCTTAAAAAAACAGTTGTCAGGCCCAAGAGACTAATAATCACCTAATGTCTAAAAATTACCTACGAAGTAGGCACGGGACAAAAATGTATCTGCCCCAAGGCCTATTTTACGGACTTGTTCATACAATCATTTTTAGTCTAATTTGCTTTATTCATTTTTATTATAGTATGAATTAATATAATTCACAATAAACTAACCAGGTCATTAACCCCAAGATATAAATCATGAAGGTGTTTGAAAAGTTGTCGACACCTTTGAACTCAGGTCAACGACCGTATTTCGATAAATTATAATTTAATAATTAAAAATGTCCTGATTCAAAGAGAAAATAAAGTTTCAAAGGCTTTCTCTTACTTTAGTCACAAGTTAGTAGTTTTTAACTACACAAAACAAATTTCCCCTTAGAAATATATAATCGACCTCAAAGGACACGTATAGCAAATATGTTACAGTGTTCATCAAGATTAATTTTACTATCCACGTTCATAATAGTTTAATCAATGCACATAAAATTTGTTACAATTTAAGTGATACCGCCGCCCATAGACACTCTCAATGCCAGGAGGCTCGCGAGTGCGTTGACGGCCTTTTCGCTCTGGAATGCAATGAAAACAAAATTTTTGTAGGACGATTTTAGTATACATTATCTGTTGTATCAGTCAACAAATGATTAGCGGATGAGCTGATATGGGTATCCAATAGTTTACTTTAAGGTTAGCCCAAAAAACACAATTTTTATAATAAAACTAGCGACCCGCCCCGGCTTCGCACGGATGCAATGCTGATACTAAATTCAAAGTGCTATAGAGTATAGGGAGAACCGCGGCCTCCGACGCGCTGCGTCTCGCAATAAATCATATGCTGTAAAGGGCCATATAGATCTATATTAAATCAACAATTTATTTAAGGTATTTAATTGGATAAGGATTAATGATGTATTGGTTAAAATCGCTTCGGAAATTAGCCATTATTTGTCGTAAAAAGTAAATGACAAAAAATGTTATTGTGGGATATCCATAAGAGGTAGACATATAGTATATACCATCGCGGAGTTTTCTGTAGACCTTTTCAATGTGTACAATACTTAGTACATTATTTTTTTGAGTATTTTTTTAGTATTCAGAAGACCTATCACAGTTGAAAACATCCAGACATTATTTTTGTTGTTGACTTGTGTAATCTCAATTGAATTTCTCACGTTGGAATAACATGTGTCTGGGTTACAATTGTCAAACAATGGCTTAGCCATAATATAGATTTCTTCTTTATTCAGGTTTTTCAGAATGTTGAATCCAATTTATAATAATTTAGTTTTAATATATTTATTTACAGTATTTATTGTTATTGGTAAATAAAATTAAAAGAACTTCTTTTAGTGCCATCTCCTTTCGAAAGTTGGCGTTCATCATGGCTATATTTAATTTTGGTTACCGCGTTTACCGAACCTTGACTTGGTGCTTTGACCAATCCATTAACTAAGATTCTTAAACCAAGACCTTCGTTTGCAGTCAACAAAATCTATCAAATATTTTTACTGTGTTATGTTATATGTAACATTTATAACAATAGCCGTAAAATTATAATAATATTGAGATTTTATCGCATTTTCTTATATCTATTGTGCACCTGGAAATGTATTATATTTTTAAACTAACTAAAGTCAACTCACCTGTCATGTTGGATCAAAGCAATAGAACTCGCAACCAGATCTTCAAACTGCTTCTCGCTGGCTGAACTACCCTGCCTTTTGTGGTGATGGGGTGTGTTGCTCACTGATGAGGTAGGAGTCAGGGTCTTCTGAACTTCGGCGCTCTTCGATAGGCTGTTCGATTTGCCAAACAGCTTCCAAGTACCGCTGGGCGCTTCTTGATTTTTCGTAGGATTGCTCTTCCAAGGGAATACGCCTCTGAAAGAGAGAAAATCTTGGTTATTTCTCTAGCATTATAATAAATCATCTAACTGAGCTCCGCGATTTCACCGTCGTAATTTAAGACCCATCATAGCCACACAAGGAGGATAGATCTTTCATATATTTTAATAAACTCCGAAATAAGTCGGAAACTACTGGACTGATAGTAAAAATACATAATTACACATGCATACATCAATATGGTATGCCAAGAAAAACAAGTATTTTACACCTGTTACGATAGTTTTCGAGTTCTTCGGAATGTAAATAACAAAAATACAAAAAAAAATCCATTATTTGTACAGATACATAACCTAGTGATTGAGCAGTTTTGGCCTAGTGGCTTTAGCGTGCGACTCTCATACCTGAGGTCGTAGGTTCGATACCCAGCTGTGCACCAATGGACTTTCTTTCTATGTGCGCATTTAACATTCGCTCGAACGGTGAATGAAAACATCGTGAGGAAACAGACTTTAGACACAAAAAACCGCGTGTGTCAGGCACGGGACAGATACAGAAATCTGAGGCCAAGACCCAAAAAGGTTGTAGTGCCACATTGTTGTATCGAAAGACTAGGTTTTATAAAACATAGAATGAAAAATAATTTATTTGTTTAAAATAAATTAAGCTACACAAGAAACAATACTAAACTAAACACAGCTTGTAGTCGCCTGTAATATCCACAGATATTCAGAAATAATAAAAGAATATTAAAGAATATCAGTTCTTGTGTGTAAACGTGTGTTAGACTTGTATTTCGTTTCGAAATAATTGTACCAAGGTAAAAGTAAAAGTACGTAATTACAGAAAGTGGCTTTCAATGTGAAAGCTTTATACATATTTTAAAATTGTACTAATTTAGGTATATATTCATAGCTAATTGTTTCATTTACATGATAAAAATGCTGTGTAATCTTAAAATGGACAAAAGTCTTGAATTATTTAAGATATTCTTTGGTATATTATTTGGTTTTTTGTGGACGCAGGCGGTACCAGTTGGTAATTAGTATTTCATACTTCTATCCACTAGATAAAACGTTTTACATATAAAATTACATAACGTAGAATGAACTCATAAATTATAGGGATTGTAAGGAAAATTTATGCTCTGCAAATGTAGAGTAACGAATTATTGGTAAATGCTTAGGATTCCCTGGGGGGACCGTACCTACTAAGAAAATCAGGTAAAAAATCGTCTTTCAACACTTTGTTACCAACTGATCCTTTGTTGAAGTTTTTTTTTACTTGGGATCCTTCAAGAAAAGAGCGTACCGATAAAAGGCCGGCAACGTACTTGCGAGCTTGAAGAGAGTTTTTCCCGATTGACCCCCTTTTTAAAACTACAAAGTATGCAGCTGTTTATCATAAACGCTGACTAAACAACTGTTAGGTGATTACTCAATCAATATACTATAAACTGTGTTTTTATAAAGCACGTGTACACATCCGGCAACCGGTTAGATAAAACACGACTTAACTGATAGTAATTAAAATGTTTACGTCTTGATAGAGTACAGCTGTACTGTTATTAACTTTGAAAATATCATATAATCGAATACATACCATTTATTACTAACGAAACACACACAGAAAGACAAAAAATAATAATAATCAAAAAACAAAAATAACACACAAATTATGGAAAAAAAGGAATCAGGTACATTTTAATTGTGTAATGTATGTGTGTGTTGCGGTTGTAACTGGCCCTGGCTCAGCATTATGCTGTGGAGCAGACGTGTTCCACAGCGCTGATCATTCTGCCAGAGCCCACAACAGTTAGATTAGATTAGATGCTACATTATCCCTAAGTTACAAAATTTATTTGTTTAAATATTTTCAAAAATAAATATTTGTACTGTAATTTTCTTACGAATATCCCTTCATGGTATGAGCAAATTTATTTATTTGCAAATATACCAAGCCAATAAAATAATAAAATATTAATTATACAAAATATCGCCATTGCGCTATTCTCTCTGCGAAAATATAAAGATCTCGATAGTGTCTGTCATAGGGATCTATGCAACAGACTGGTTCTGGCGCCACATATAAAATTATTCAACCAAATCAACAATAGATATTAGCTTTCATCTCCATCAAGAAGAAGAAGATTATCCCAACAAGTTGGTTTTTCCCAGGGGCTTCCCCCACCCCCCCCCCCCCCCCCCCTTTTCCCCCCCCCTTCTTTTTTTTTTTCTTTTTTTTTTTAAACCCCCCCCCCCCCCCCCCTTCTTTTTTTCCCCCCTTCCCCCCTCTTTTTTTTTTTTTTTGGTTTTTTTTTTTTAAAAAAAAAAACCCCCCCCCCCCCCCCCCCCCCTTTAAAAAAGGGGGAAGGGGGGCCCCCCCCCCCCCCCCCCCCCCCCCCCCCTTTTTTTTTTTTTCTCCCCCTCCCCCTCGTGGGGGGGGGAAAAAACCAAAAAATTTTTTTTTTTTTCCCCTCTCCCCCCCCCCCCCCCCCCCCCCCCCCCCCCCCCCCCCCCCCCCCCCCCCCCCCCCCGCCCCGGGGGGGGGGGGGGGTTTTTTTTTTTATATAGATGGGGATAAAAAAAAAAAAAAAAAAAAAAAAAAAAAAAAAAAAAAAAACAAAAACAAACACAAACACAACAAGGGGGGGGGGTGTTTGTGTATTTTATAAAAAAAAAAAAAAAAAAAAAAAAAAAAATTAAAAACAAAAAAAAACAAAAACACAAAAAAAAAAAGAGGGAATAAAAAAAAAAATAAAAAAAAAAAAAAAAAAAACAAAACAACAGGGACCCCCCCCAAACCCCAAAGGGCCCCGCAACCCCCCCCCCCCCCCCCCCCCCCCCCCCGGGGGGGGGGGGGGGGCCCCCCCCCCCCCCCCCCCCCCCCCCCCCCCCCCCCCCCCCCCCCCCCCCCCCCCCCCCCCCCCCCCCCCCCCCCCCCCCCCCCCCCCCCCCCCCCGCGCCCCCCCCCAGGGGGGGGGGGGAAAACGCGAAAGGGGGGGGGGGGGGGGGGGGGGGGGGGGGGGGGGGCCCCCCCCCCCCCCCCCCCCCCCCCCCCCCCCCCCCCCCCCCCCCCCCCCCCCCGCGCGGGCCCGGGGGGCGGGGGGGGGGGGGGGGGCCCCCCCCCCCCCCCCCCGCCCGGGCGCCCGCGGCGCCCCGCCGCCCCCGCGGGCGGGGGGGGGGGGCGCCCCCCCCCCCCCCCCCCCCCCCCCCCCCCCCCCCCCCCCCCCCCCCCCCCCCCCCCGCCCAACCCGCGCGCGCGCCGGGGGGGGGGGGTCAACTCCCCCCCCCCCCCCCCGGCGGGGGGGGGGGGGGGGGCGGGGGGGCCGCGGGGGGGGGGGGGGGGGCGCGGGGGGGGGGGGGGGGGGGGGGGGGGGGGGGGGGGGGGGGGGGGGGGGGGGGGGGGGGGGGCCCGCGCCCCGGCGCCGCCGGGGGGGGGGGGGGGGGGGGGGGGGGGGGGGGGGGGGGGGGGGGGGGGGGGGGGGGGGGGGGGGGGGGGGGGGGGGGGGGGGGGGGGGGGGGGGGGGGGGGGGGGGGGGGGGGGGGGGCGGGGGGGGGGGCGGGGGGGGGGGGGGGGGGGGGGGGGGGGGGGGGGGGGGGGGGGGGGGGGGGGGGGGGGGGGGGGGGGGGGGGGGCCCGCCCCCGGGGGGGGGGCGGCGCCGCCCCCGCCCGGGGGGGGGGGCGGGGGGGGGGGGGGGGGGGGGGGGGGGGGGGGGCGGGGGGGGGGGGGGGGGGGGGGGGGGGGGGGGGGGGGGGGGGGCGCCCCCCCCCCCCCCCCCCCCCCCCCCCCCCCCCCCCCCCCCCCCCCCCCCCCCCCCCCCCCCCCCCCCCCCCCCCCCCCCCCCCCCCCCCCCCCCCCCCCCCCCCCCCCCCCCCCCCCCCCGCGGGGCGGGGGGGGGGGGGGGGGGGGGGGGGGGGGGGGGGGGGGGGGGGCGGGGGCGGGGGGGGGGGGGGGGGGGGGGGGGGGGGGGGGGGGGGGGGGGGGGGGGGGGCGGCGGGGCGCCGGGGCGCGGGGGGGGGGGGGGGGGGGGGGGGGGGGGGGGGGGGGGGGGGGGGGGGGGGGGGGGGGGGGGGGGGGGGGGGGGGGGGGGCCGGGGGGGGGGGGGGGGGGGGGCGCCCGGGGGGGGGGGGGGGGGGGCGGGGGGGGGCGGCGCCCCCCCCCCCCCCCCCCCCCCCCCCCCCCCCCCCCCCCCCCCCCCCCCCCCCCCCCCCCCCCCCCCCCCCCCCCCCCCCCCCCCCCCCCCCCCCCCCCCCCCCCCCCCCCCCCCCCCCCCCCCCCCCCCCCCCCCCCCCCCCCCCCCCCCCCCCCCCCCCCCCCCCCCCCCCCCCCCCCCCCCCCCCCCCCCCCCCCCCCCCCCCCCCCCCCCCCCCCCCCCCCCCCCCCCCCCCCCCCCCCCCCCCCCCCCCCCCCCCCCCCCCCCCCCCCCCCCCCCCCCCCCCGGGGGGGGGGGGGCGCGCCGCCCCGGGGGGGGGGCCCCCCCCGGGGGGGCCCGCCCCCCCCACCCCCCCCCCCCCCCCTCTCTCTTTTCTTCCCCTTTTTTTTTTTTTTTTTTTTTTTTTTTTTTTTTTTTTTTTTTTTTTTTTTTTTTTTTTTTTTTTTTTTTTTTTTTTTTTTTTTTTTTTTTTTTTTTTTTTTTTTTTTTTATATTATTTTTTTTTTTTTTTCTCCCTCCGTGGGGGGCGCGCTCTGGGGGGGGGGGGGGGGTTTGGGGGGTTTTTCCTCCTCCTTTTCTCTTTGGTTGTTTTCTGGGGGGTTTTTTTTTTTGTGGGGGGGGGGGGGGGGGGGGGGGGGGGGGGGGGGGGGGGGGGGTGGGGGGGGGGGGGGGGGGGTTTTTTTTTTTTCTTTTTTTTTTTTTTTTTTTTTTTTTTTTTTTTTTTTTTTTTTTTTTTTTTTTTTTTTTTTTTTTTTTTTTTTTTTTTTTTTTTTTTTTTTTTTTTTTTTTTTTTTTTTTTTTTTTTTTATCAATTCCGGAATGAGAAATAGCTTCCGAGTTAATTTTGAAGCTTAATAACATTTCCAACATAAAAATTAGTATATATATATACAACACACAATTTACGACGTTGTAGTGAGGTCGTTTACTCGTACCAAGCGCTGGCCGGCACCGCTGCGCGCGCGCATGACTTTTTATTACGTAGATTAGCTTTTGAATTACTGCTTATGCAAGGTTTATGTGAAGTTTGCTCCCTTTGTGTATTGTTCTTGTTAGGAATTTAATGTCAGAATTGTAATGAATACTGTTGAACAACGTCAGTAGCCTATGTCAAATTACTGATTAAATTAGTTGAAAAATTGTATAAAAATATATTTATATTACAAAGTCCTCACTAAAAGATATTTAAAGCCGCTGTTGAGGATTTGTATAAAAATGAATTGATGTTCGTTTTAATAGAACAGGGGGCAAACGGACAGGAGGCTCACCTGAAGTTAAGTGATACCGCCCATGGACACTTCATGGACAATGGTCAGAGGGCTCACAAGTTCGTTGCCGGCCCTTTAAGAATTGGTACACTCTTTTCTTGAAGGACCCTAAGTCGAATTGGTTCGGAGATACTTCAGTGGGTAGCTGGCTTCACATAGTGGTGGTGCGGGGACAAAAAAGAGAACGCTCAGTTGTGTTATCTCGCTAAAACTCGAGAATGGGTGGACAGATTCGCTAATGATGGGAATATTTGTGGATTTTCAGGGAATGTTTAAACCGATAACATCAAAAAAATTTAAAACGATAATTGAAATTTCCAATAAAAATTGTCACTTTGTTGTCATATATTTATAAGTTTTTAACATTCAGAAATTTCTGTTTCATAGCTGATTTCTTTGCTTTCAAATGTATTAATTTTGACATATATGTAGGTGATACGAAGTTCACCGGGTCTAGTGATTAAATAAAATTATTTAAAAATCTCTGCCATTTGCAGCCTTTGCACATAAAAGATTAAATCAGAAAGTTTGCCTTTGAATTCCTCTGAGGAATTGGACGAGATTACAATGTCTTTTATGAATGAAAATAGCTCGTTACGTCACAAAATTGCTACGATAAGAAATCTTAAATGGGTTAGACTGTAAAATTGTACGATTTGAAATTAACCTACATTTTGGTACACACATAGAAAGTATCGCTAACGAGAAATTTAACGCGATTTTAATCTACAATCATTTTGTATGTTTTTGTGGAATAATCATTGCCGATATTCAAGATCGAAAATGACCACAATTGTATGCCTTGAAGGGGTTGCATTGCATTACATGGCTGGAAAAAAATCGAAAAAAACCTATGCCAAGAAGGGGTTCCGATCAAAGGAAGTTAGGATAACGAACAACAAGAAAAACATTTTATATAACAAATTTTAACTGTATATTAACATCTGTCTGTTCGATTCCCGGCTGTGCGCCAATGTACTTTCTTGCACATGTACGCATTTAACATTTGCTCAAACGGTGAAGGAAAACATCGTGAGGAAACCGGTTTGCCTTAGACTCTAAGGCAAATTTTGAGAAAAACTTAATTATTCTCAAATACGTCAAACCCTTTATTCATTCACGCATTTAACTTCAATAGGTCTATCAAGGTATCAAAAGCAAAAATATTGATTGATTTGTTTATTTATTATAAATATATATAGAAGGCCTTTTGCTATCCATTAATCTTTTCTAAGTACATTTTTAAATCATAGTATATTATCCCCATATACTTCAGAAATAGGTCGTTCTCCGGCGAAGAGTCGAGGTAAATATTAAGCTGCGAGAGTAAGCGGGGAATGGGGGCTTGTTGACGCTGGACCGTGTGGGTCGAATACACAGCAAAAACGTTATGTTTCCGGCAGCGGTGATAATAGTCCGGAACTTAGGTATAGCCTCCTATCTCTCAGCAACTATGCGCTTTCCGTTTCGTTCTTAATTATCCTTAAGCCAAATTTGAT